TTCGCTATTCTGAATTTTCCTTCCATGACTCAGTCTTTAACATTTATTATGTACATGAGTGTATTGGTATATAAATAATTCTGAGAAGAACACCAGTAGTTACTTAAAGCGGCCTTTGTGCTTTAGTTACAGTTACATAATAACGTAAGTAGCACACTTTTATGCGTGTAATATTTCTTTGATGTTTATCGTCGTGTATTCGTACCGTTATTAAAGCATTTGATTGCAGTTTTTATGTGTATTCTTTCTTATGTAGTTTTCGCTTTATTCGATTACAGCTTAATTTTCTGGTTCATTGTGTTTCGTAAACAGATTCAGACATTTGTTCTCCACGAAGCTTTTCTGATTACAGAGCAAATAGCTGTCTCAGTTTGTGTTTTGCCAACCACAAAATGGCTTCATGCTCGCAAAATAAGAATAAGCTTTTGTGTATGTAACACAGTTACGGATTTCATAAGCAAAATTTTTAAAAGTTTTTTACTTGTACTTCGGTAAAAAGTAAGCAAATTAATTAAAAGCGAAACAGTTTTTGAATAGAACAATAATTAGTAAAAATGCTAACGTCAACCAAAAAGTCTCCAACATTTACGTTTAAAGTAAATGTTTGATAATCCGAAAAGTAGAAAAATACATACACAGAAAAAAAGGCAAATTAAATGTTTACTCAATAAGAAAATGAAGTTGTTCTTAGAAAATTTATAAGAAATAACTAGGAGTCAAGAGAAATTCAACTTTGATCATCAGGAAAAAAGAAAACTCAAAACCTGCTAAATCAATCATTTGTCGAATGACATCAAGATCGGTGTAGACACCAATCCCAGGATTACATATATAATATGCTCTTGCCACACGCATAACTGTCAGTCAGTAAATCCTTCATGAATCGCCAATACCTTTTATTCGAAATCAAAGTATCACAGAACAACACCAGCAATTGTATGGCATGGAATGACAGCAGTGCTCAATATTTCACAAATGAGCGGAGTGTGGCATATAGACAAGTTGAGGATGTTGACTGTCACTCCTATGTCTCAATGAAACTGACGGCTGACAGTTTTCCTTGTCGAATCGTTTACTTTGACCTGAAAACTGCTAAACATACAAACATTGGATCACCCTTTCGACTATACATAGACACATGCAATATAATCGTACAAGTACATATGTTCGTTTGCGTATAAAACGTTCGCAACTCCCGAAGTAGACAAACATATGATTATATAATATATATAAAATAGTATATCAAGTGGCTTTTTGCATTAGATTTGTGGTTTGATTGGAAATTTCGCTCACACAATTATTCCTTTGCATAAATAAATAAATAAATTATTCGAGTTTCTGCTATCACAGCGAAATCAAGTGGCCTCAGGAAAAAGTTACGACATGATAAAAAAGAATAAGTGACAGTGGGCAAAGTGGGGTGAAATGATGGCAGTGCCTTCCTCAACTTGCGCGTTTGTATATACTTTTGCACATATGGAGGGAAGTCTGAGTTTTCCGTTTTCTCCGTGAATAATTCACTGCTTTGCACGCAACGCTTCAAATCTAACTGAAAATACCAGTGTGCAACCTTCAAATTAATGACATTTTTTACAACAACGCAGTAGTTGCATTTGGTTTGTATGGAATCGAGAATTAGACGGTGCCAATGTTGAATGCTATAAATATTAGGGAGGTAGTAAAAATTAGTATAAGAAATTGGTATTAGAATTTTGTGGCATAAGTGTGCTGGTTGCATATTAATTAATGGCGCCGTATTAATAAAACCAGTGAAAGTAATTTCCTATGTCTACTACTTCAAAAGGTTTGCTGGATGTGCCAATTGCAATTTATCATTATTTACCTTAAGATAATTGCAAATAAAACCGATTATTTAATATATCATTTATTTTTATTATTGAGTAATAGCGAAAAATTAAAAACATGTAATAAAGCATTTAAAATAAGAACAAGAAAAATGATTAACTTCGGATGCTATCAAACCCTCATAAATAAAAAATTTCCCACTTAAATACTTGATTTGATCGTTCAGTTTGTACGGCTGCTATATGCATGGTGGTACGATATCGACGCTTCCAACAAATGCGCAGCTTCTTGGAGAGAAAAAGATGTGTGTAAAATTTCAGATCTATATCTCAAAAACTGAGAAAATAATTCGCGTATATACAGGCAGACAGAGGAACAGACAACTTAGCTCACCACGCTGATCGTTTATATATGTATATATTTTATAGGGTCTCCAATGATTCCATCTGGGTTTTATAAACTTCGTTGCAAAGTTAAGAGTATAAAAAACTGATTAATATATATTTTTTTTTAAGTTTATCTGTAATGCAAAAATTGATTTGGCGCACGAAGTTCATTCATACGCCAGAGCTGAAAAGTAACAAATTAAGAAAAAAACAAGTAATCGTAGCGGCAAGTGAGTAATTAGTGTTTTTCAGCACAACGAAGTGAAATATGGCATTTTTACAGACAATATGTTGACATATCAATCGCCCTTGACTGATTTCATGTATTCGCTTATTTTCAATTGTTTATGTTCGACAACATCATTAACGAACAATTGTCGACAATTTATTGACATAAAATGAATCATTCTTATATACAAACAAATATATATAAAACAAATAATATCATTAAAGTAATGCAATGTGTGGTGGGAAAATGCTCCCGGGCGTATACGCAACTTTTGGTTAATAATAAGCTTACTGATTGGCGTTACGGTAAATTGCGCGCCATAAATAAATGTATGACTGTTCACGTTAGGAAATGAAACAGTTTTCAAAAACTCGAATGCTGCTACAGATATTTGGCTTTTATGCACAACCGCGAAATTGAAAACTTTTTCGTTGTAAAACAACAACATACATATTCATGGCACGCCCATACTATTTTCAGAAATAAATTAAATACAAATAGTTCACGTGAAAAGCGTTCCATAAAGTCAGTAATTTTACATGGAAGACTGGCCACCGAAACTTTATTGGAAAAAAAGTGGAGGGAAGCGCACACATACATACACACGCTTTTTCATTGACTTCTCTATTGCAAACAAGAGCACTTTAGACGTAGACAGGATACACGTTGCTCTTCACAATCCATATTTTTAAATTACACTTGGCAAGTGATCAGCCACTCGAGTTCACATTCAAACGCCCACAAAAAGCAAAGGATTTCGACGCTCTCCATGTAACATCCCCAGTGTGTGCTCAAACAAGCACGGTATTTAATTGAAAAATTTTTCACATCCGCGATTCATTTTAATTTACAGCATACACTCTCACACGCACACATACACACACACACTTTATACATTAAAAACTCATACATTCACGTGAACTAACAGTACAAAGCAGCCCGCTTGGGGTAATTTTTGAGTAAATCCCAATGTAGGATGCTAAAAGGTTGTTCCAAATTGGTATTGCTTTTGTTGTTATAATCGGTTGCGTTTTGTGCGTGATTCTGAAGTAAGAAGTTCACACGCACACACACATACACCAACATGCACGCACTTGTTAGTGCCACTGTTTTCATTTATTTTATTTTACTTAAAAGCATATAAGCTCCTAAGCAAATAAGTATATGTATGTGTGTGTATTTACGTACTCTTTACTACTACTTGCTGGTTTCAAGTTTTTTCTTTTTGCAATTAATTAAACTTTTTCTTTGGCAACTACCGTAAGCAACAAAAAGAGGTGAGTTGGTTGACCGTTAGCTGGTGGCGGTCGGCTGCCGATTGGAACACCGGCTTGCTGTTGATTGTTCGCGGCTTAACGAGCGACTGTCGCTGCACAAAAGCAGTGGCCGCTTTAATAACGGTGGTACGGCCAGCGGTGCGCCATGTTGCATGCAACGGAGTGATGGTGTGATGTTGGTGGCAGAAATTAAAATGTTGATTTAATAATAATATATTTAGCGTGAAATATTTTTTTTCTGTTCTCAGAAAGAAAGCAAAAAAGCACAGCGTTGCGGTGCTGGTGCCAATACTCAAAAATAGCTAAAACATGTACATATGTATGTATGTGTATGCTTATGCAGACCTCTGTGCCAAGACGATTTTTGTCCGTCTTGTGGCGCCGCTAACGTCCGCTGCCCGAACTTCTGCACCGCATTCTGCTTGCAAATGCTTGTGTTGAGCGTTTCTAAATTGCCACATACATACATACGTATACGTGAAGCATGTCAATGTGCTGCGGTTAATTCAAATTTTTCATTTTTTAATATGTTATTGTTTTTGTATATTTATTTAAGCTACAATGTTAAATTGCCGCCAAAAATGGCAACTTTCCACATTCTGATTTGTGTTGCGGCTGTATGCGGCAGCTTATGTGCTCATTTGCTGGCGTTTTTCGTCACGTGACACAGTGTTTGGCTGTGCTCTGCACTCCTGTGGTGCAGCAAATGTATTTATTGTCCTAAATTGCAGGCGTCACACTGCAGTCGACTTGCACATTCTAGATATGTATAGGACATGACAAATGCACATACATATGTAACGGTGAGCGCACACGTGTAGCTACATCCGGTCTCTAAGCATATGTATGGGTATGTAAATACGTCAAGCGGAAATGGGCAGTGCCAATGGTTTAAAAATTATTGTTACTGTTGTTGTTGTAGGAAATTGCACGCGTGACTACTCCAGTTCGCCGCAGCGTTGCGGTAGCGCTCCTGCTGGTGTCGCTTGCTTTTTGCACGTCGCCAATGCGACCAAAATGTAATGACAACAAACTTTTGGCAATGAACTGCGCGCACCATTGGCCTTTGCTCCTCTCACAAGCGCTTTTTAATGCCCAGTTTTTTGCATGCACAATTCAAAGGCGTTTAATATTTAAGAACTCAGTCAACCATAATTCAACACAAAAGTGCGCATTAAAAATAAATTTAATGTGAACAACAAATAGTTTCGTAATAAAATATGCACACAACATCATGTAAACATTTAATTTTTTTCTTTTATTTCAAGCATACTTGTATGTTTTGTTTAAACCTGTATTTACCTGACTCTATGTTGCCTCCAACACTTTTTGTATTAATAACTTATTAATTAATTAATAACTTGTTGCCAGAGTATAATTTGTATAAATATATAATTTTAAGAATATATACAAATACTCGTGTGTATGTGCACTTTATTAGATTTATATCACTTTTTAATGTTTTTCATCAATTTTTCGAGCTTTTTCTGATTTTGAGTGTAATGCAGCACTGCCTTCTTTAAATACTTTAAGCGGCAAAAAAATGTCACACAAAATTTCTATTTTAAATATGCTGATTTTTTTTCGCTCAGCAGCACTTTCCCCACTTAGGACCCACACTCATTCACGTATTCGACTAATTGTTTGTTTAAACTGAAGAAACAAGTCGTCACTCTTTCTTCCTGTCCGTATCTTTCGAGCACTTGACTGCCGTGTCGCGCGCGTACGCCAATTTTATGCGACAACGAGCACCAACGAATAGCTAATAAATGGCCGAGCCGCGTCGAGGTGCCTCTTCGTTACTGGTCGCACATCCACAACGCCGCAACTTCCACAACGAACTGTTTGTTGGCTACCAGACGATTCAGTGTATCGCTACCATTTTTGCGAAGCTTTTTAACCGTTACAATGTTTGCGTTACATTCCTCGCCTTCTGTTTTCGCCCTTTGGCTTGCAACATGTTCGATGTTGTCTGCAGTGCGACTCCACGTGTTTTGACACACCCTCCCACTCCCACTGCCTTTCTGCGGCGGATGCGAGCCAATCGTTTACCCGAGCGCTTTTACGTACGACCAGTTCAGCTCGTCAATTGCCTGCCGTCTAGTTCGAGCGCACATTGCTCCCACGTCGCTCACCCGCACTCGGCGCTTCGTCCCACTGCCGTCGTGGCAGCTTTTCATTCATAAAAATCCGCTGGATCGGCAAGACGAGGCGCTTGTGCGGTAAAAACAATCGTAGTTGTGCAAGCGCGTGGGCGAATTGAGTGGAATGAATGGCCGGTGTGTGAGAGTGTGTGTGTGCGTATGTGTGCGTTTATATGTTTGCTTGCTATGTTAATTATTAAGAAATTTTCTTTTATTAGAGAATGTTTTTTATTTACATTTCTGCGGAGCATTGCTTTTGAATTGTTTAGTAAGTTGTTTTTTTTTTTTTAATTTTATGTTTATGGTAATAAAATGTACACAATAGGGCTCTTTTATTCTATTACTTTCTTCTTTTTATTACATAATGGCCTTAACGAATTGATTTGATATGCAATAAACACTGGGAACAACAGCCGCTGGCACGTGAGCATTATTTCGAAACCGACCATCAAATAAATCTGAAATTCTAACACCTTTCATTTGTGGCAAAAACCAGCGCCTTCCAATTTAAAAAAAATTACTTTCTGAAATTCGTACAAACACCTTTGCAATTCAAGTAAATTTAATATTTATATAAATAAATGTCAAACCTGTAGGTATTTATAATAGAGATGTCTTCTCTCATTTTAGGAAAACATTTAATAATCATAAATGTTACGACACATTTTCAAGGTGAGCTGTTTCGTAAAAATCACGTCGTTTAGCTACTTGTACAACAAATTGCGGCACTTCTGTGCCACAATAACAAAAAGACAAGACGTAAAAGAAGAAGCAGAGCAGAGAAATTCAGAACGTCAACAGCTGCAAAAAAAATCATAAATTAAAATGCCATAAACACATGTACCACAATACTACAACTAAATATTAAATGTGTTCACATAAATATCGCAACATTCGCGCTCATGCATACATACCAATATGGATGTGTATGTTTGTATGTGTGTGCTATATTTGTATCGCAAGCGTAAGACATGTTGACGCACTCATCCCTTTGGCTAAAATAAAAGAATTGGCAAACATTGCAAAATGGGGAGATCAAAAAACAATCTGTGCTATTTCGAAATTGTCTAAAAAACCGTTACCTTACAAATATTGTGATGACTCACCTTCAGTATATACATACATACATATGTACGTATATAATTATTAATAATAGCAATAACATAAATTGTTTAGTATAATATTAGCATAATAGCAAAATTAAAAACGAAATGCTTTGATCTTTTGCCGTTTTTAATAAAAATTACATTTGACCTTCATGCAACAAATTTGTGCTAGATCGCATATCTTTAAAGCTCATTTTAAGCATTCTGCCAATTTGAATGTGAAGTAGACTATTATTATAGCAATTATTTAAGTAATTACGACTACTTTGTTACGTAACACGTGTTTGCGATTGATAAAAGTTAACTAATATTGTAACAAAAATCGATTCACTACAGCTTTACCCCAGAAAATTATCTATAAATAATAGAAAAACAAGAGACTCCGGCTGTTCTTCTTAGCTGTGTAGCATTTTGCCTTTTCGCTGAGTTATGTATGTGTTTGTATGCAGGGTTATAATTACCCCTAGAAAAACTGTAAATTTGAGGTGTTGAACTTTAACCTTGAAATTTCGCACTTTGACCTTTGATTTTGTGACCACTAAACGGAATGATGAATAACGCTGTTTAATGCAAATATATCATATATACTTGTACCTATGTTTATAAAGTACATATTTATAATTTGATATATCCTTATTTTTTATTGCTTTATGCTACATCGTACACATACGAGTATACTTAAGGGTGTCGTAAACTGTTTTGAATACGCTTTAGGCAGTGCTGCAGAGAAGTCCAAGGGTGTCATCATTTCCACATCTTTTACCTCTGAAAGGTTTACTATAATACCACATACAATACATCAAGTCGGAAGTCATTAGGTTGGCAGCTGGTTCTACGCACCCAAACTTTTATACGGCCAAGAACCTCAACACTTTTTTAGGGAATATTTTATATAGCTTTGCAATTTCATTGCACTCCATCGTCTGTCTTCTTCGGCTTTTTGCATTTCATGAGCTCAGCAAAAAACTTCTATTGACTCGAATCCATGCAGTTTGTACTTGTTTCATTTTCTAATTTGTATGCGCCCAGCTGCCTGTCTGCCAGTCTGTCTGGATGTCGGTCGTCAATGTTTCTTTCTACTTATGAGCTTGTTTACCCGCCATCCGCTCGCACTTCGAATGTTTTCAAGACGCTTTTCTTTTAGTTTCATTCTTTTATATTTGCTGTGCGTGTTTATTTTTTCATTGTCTCAATTTTCTCGATTTGCGGTCATTTGCATGCCTAAACTACGGGCAGTGGCGCGCGGGTGGGTGCTCCCCCGCCGCAGACCACAAGCTGTGATCTTAATGAGATAATCACATCGATTTTTGTTTCAGCCTTTGGCTGACTAAATTAATCATTCACTTGTTTCGGAATTTCAAATGAACTTAATTAGTATTGGAATGTGCACATACGCACACACATATTCGTGCTTAGGTATGGGTGGGCACACTTATTTGCTGGCGTACAGACGCACCTACACATGCATTGCTGTATACACTACTGCCGAATGCACCGGTACGAATTGACTCAGATCTAGTCCAGCAAGCAGTTCAACTACATATTTCTCGTTACTGCTCTCTTCTATAGAGTAACTGGCGAATTTAATGTCGGTATCAATAAATGACACCCACCACTGACCTCTTCTTCACCTTCGAATTGGTGCAAACTTGCAGTGTTGTCTTCATATTTATGTTGGAAATCTGATTTGAAAAGTTGTGAGTAATCACACATCCAATAAGGAGACCGTTTGGAATGAAATTCATATAGAAAGCTAAGTAAATGCATAATGATCTTTTCTAAACTTAGTTGGGTCAAATTTATACAACTAGCTGCATAAGCCGAATAAAGCATGACATGACATGATTGGACTTGTTTACCGTCATGCCTCCGTTATTTTTCAGGCAATAAAAATATTTTGCGTCGTTCACGGTAAAAAAATATTTTAATTTACTTGCATATATTCATACATATGTATGTACATATATATAAATATATTATTGATAACGTAAAATTTGTTAAGCTCGTTTTTAATTTAAAAGTTGTACTTTGCCACCGAGCAGATACAGCTACATACATACATACATATACCATAGTCATATACACAAGCGAGATCCGTTTGGAATTTTGTGGACATTTAGCTCAGTGGGAAGTGTAGAATTCTTGATTAGATAAGAGTTTACAAATAATAAACAGTAAATTTCGTTTAATACTCGGCACATAAAAGGCAGCTAACATATCCCAGATCAGAAGGCGTGGAAAATTGTTAGTAACACTAGCTGATAGCAGCAAGGTGTTAAGACCCAGGGCACACATGCAAACATACATGTAAGTACATATTATTACAACAGCGTCGAAATGCTGATTGTTAGATATGCATATGCACATACATACATACATACATATGTATACATAAATGTATATAAACACAAGTATAATAATCTTTTACGACTAAATATTTCAACAAAACACTTAACGGTGGTGTATTTAAATATTCGGGTAAGCAAGTGCATACATTTGTATGTGTCGAGCGTCTCTTTGATATTCCTGTAAACATTTGAGGTAGTCAGAAATCACAACACAAAAAAATATACAATAATTCGGAAATCAGTCACGAAAAGATCTTTCAGCTTTAATGCAGATATCGACATTTGTTTTGATCAGCTTTCGGGGCAGCAGGTGGGTGTTTGGAATGTGTTTACCAAAGTGAACGGATGGATGTGGGACGCATGTGCGTATACAATTTTCCGGGAAATGACAATTTTTCTGATTTGAAATGAAAAAAGTAGATAATCATTAAAAGATTATAGACGTAGACGTTGTTGTTGTATATTCATATGCTTACACCTATGTATGTATGTATGTATGTATATATAAATCTCCATAAGCTGACCAATTGGAAACTGTGATTGCTTCGACATTGAGACAATTGTATTATATACTTATAAATACTTATAAAACGACAGGTCAACGAGGAATACACCATCACAGCAGTTCTGTGACTACAACAGTTTTAATAACACAAAGTGTTAGATTAAATCAAAAATATTTTAATAGAAATCAATGATGTTGTAGAGATTAAGTTGTAATCGCTTCTGAATTATATTTAAATTAGCCTCAATTGGAGAGCACCGGCGTTTTGTTTTGTTTCACAAACCCATTTATAACGGAATGAGAAATATTTGCATTTCTCAAATATATACATACACACATATATGCTTGATTATTGTTCTGAAAATCACATCCTAGAAAATTATGTGTTTATTTGTATGAGTGCATACATAGATATTTGTACATATGTACTCACATGAATCTAAAAATATATTATTTACAGAGCAAATAATTACAGCCACCTGCAGAGGATACAACTCATGATTCACCAGACTCTGCCGATATTTACAAGCAAATAAATGTGTCTGACATGTTGCATATGTGATTTTATTAATTTGTATACAATTACGCCTACAGCTTAGATTATTTGACGTCAAAGTGCAAGTTCGACATAATATATACCGGTCAATTGAATTTTATATTTCTTAATTAATTTAATCAAACTAATGAATTGTAATTAAATAAAGACTAAGAAAGAAATCTGCTTTAAAAGTTAATCGACGTCGAGTCGTTGACGTTGATTGGCCTTTGAGGCGAATTTTCGTTTCTTGAAGGAAGTTGGCACGTCATTTACAGTTGTTGGATCCAAGGTTTCAATGACCTTCTCTTTGAAGCGCTTTACTGGGGGCTCCGATGATACATTGGACACCACCGGTGGTATATAAACGTTATCAACTTTGGGTAGCTCCAAATCTATAGGTACCGGAGGTGGTCTGTAAAGAGTTGTAAATTTAGGTTTATTCTCGCATATAACGTTATACTCTGAATAGAGCAATCAGCATGTTTCAATGTCATATTATTTGGTTCAGGAACTTACTTTTGTTCCACCACTTGCCATTCACCAATCGTTTGAGCGCTGGCCTCTTCCTCTGTTTTGTAAGCTTCTTTCTCTTCACGTCGCTTTTGAACTTCTTGTGGTGTTTCTGGTTTTCTGAACATTTTCAAACGTTCTCGATTATAACGCGCAACTTCCTCATTAACGTTCTCGCGAAACTTTTTCGCCTCACTTGCATCTTCCAATTCTTGCTTTTTCACAGCCAATTCATTAATACGTTGATATTCAACATAGGAGAGATAGCCTTCTTTAGGTGGTTCCCATACTGATTCGTTTGTTTTCACATTCCAATAATATGTGTAGCCTTCATCAGAAACACCCTCAACCCAAAGCGAGGCATTCGGTACACTCTCCGGCATAACTTTTTGCACCCTAACACATCTGCCCTCATCGTCTTCGTCATCAGAATTGCCGGGAAGTCTTACGGGATCCACTTGCTTTGCTCGTACTTTAGCTGATGTTGATGTTGAAGCGGCCACAGTGCCTACGGTTGCATCCAGTACGGCGTTTATGTTTCGCGCTGTAAAATCTCCGCTTGCATGTATATCCTGCGCATATGAACGCATTGCCGCTTCCTCCATTTTACGGATCTCGGCATCCATCTTCTGCTTCTCCCTTTCTGCCTTCTCGCTATTCCGGCTAATGTCCGTAATACGCTTGGCGACGTTCATTTTGTGTCGCTTCCCACTTTCGTGGAAAGCAACGCTCTAAAAATAAGTACATTTATAAATATATTGTTTTATTGCAAGAATTATTACTAACCGCTTTATTGTCGCTTATCCAACATTTGCAAAAGTCGCAGTATTTACGCTCATTTGACTTCCAATAGTCCGCCCTAGGAAGGAACAAAATTAATTTGTTTAAAATGATTGCTAGCTAATATAAATATCATTTTTATATTACATTTTTATAAATTATCAACAATACAATTGTTTGTAAACAAAATACGCTGGGACTGTAGAAATTGTCAAAATCAGCACAGCTGAGAATGTTGGTAAAGCAGTTTAGAAAATGTAATAGCTTTTGGGTACAATGGTGTGTATCTTGGCTGTATTGACGCCCAGACAAAATAGTTATCAGGATAACGTTCATCGCGTAGTAATTTAACACAAAACTATAATAGCTATTTAATGCAATTTCGCAAATTATTTTATCGAGATAGTATTGCAAATGGCTTTATCTGCTTAAAGAGCAAGAATGATGAAAATTTTTCTGAATATTATATATATTTTTAATGCAATTAATATATCACATGATAGAGCTTACAAATAATGTCTGTGGAGGTACTACGTAAGAGTAAAAAAATAATAAGAAACGAAGACGCGAACCAGAAAAAAACTTATTATCTATCAGCTGAATCATAAAATTTAGTTTAAAAAAATATAATTAATACCTCGTTTACCAAAAACAATGTGTTAAATGTCTACTACAAATATTTCTTCGGCTCCTCTGAATACGTTTAATCGGACCAGTTTTCGAATTGAACAGCATTTCTCAACAACTGACGACAATGACCCCTAGCATAATTTCCATTTACCTTATTAGACGTCAAATACCACAAAAAGCTTAACTTAACTTATACTAAGCTCCTTCCATATTTTGCATACATTAAATCTTTTTTTACTTAGAAGTTTTCATTTTCTTTTTGTATGTTTAGTTTAATCGCACCTACTTCAAAAAGCTACCCATAGTAACTGTACTTGTGGCGGCTAAAAGCTATGCACAGCCAACCCAGCAACGTGAGTAGGATATAACAATTATAAATGTGAAATGGTCTAAATGGGGAAGGAAAGTCATCGGCTTCTTGGCTGTATGACAAAAGGCCAACCTGTCCTCCCACTGAACGAGTACACTTGTATTTAATCCACAAATTGAGAGGCAAAAGGCGACAATCGGAACATCTGGCAGTGCCTGCCACGGACGGTCATGTTGAAGGCTAGCATGGAGATTCAGCAAGTTGCTGTTGAGCTAAGTTTAAGAGCTTGCGAGTTTGGGTGCCTGTCAATCAGGTGGTTAAAACGCAAAAGCGCCTCTGGAATATTTTTACTAAATGCTCTTCGAAACATAGTGAGGTCAAAGGTTTTGGAATTTTATATTTAGATAAAAAAATACAAATGCTGTGCGCTTTGCTGTGTCGCAATTGCAATTCTCTAATAAAAAAAACAGTTTCTACCGACAATTACGAGGCTTCTTTAATTTGAGCCGATTTCTATATATATTTACTTTATTAAACTGAAACCAAAACAAATTTTTCAGCATACATTTAAGTTATCTAACATTCTGGTAATCTATGTAGTATTACCACTTTTAAACACATTGTAACTGTTGTTTGTTCTGATAGTTCTTTAATTGCAGTTTATCGGAATTCGCGACCATTTTTTCATCTTATTCATGTTTCAGCATAATTCCAAATGCGAAAGCAACAAAAATAATGTACATATTTATTAAACTACACTAATAGGTGTGTTTGTTGAGTAATTTACCGGTAATATCTACATTATACATACATATATACCATACTATATGTACAATGGCACAACAATGGCGCACACACGCGCACTCATTGCCAGCCAACCACATCTACCCAGCGGGCGGCGCACAACGGGACATTAACCACAACAACAGCGCCAGACAACAGGAAAGCAGGCGACAAATCAGCTAAATGTTGCAAAAATGCACGAGCTACTTAGACGTGTATGCATGTATGCGTGTACGAAAACAAATACAAAGGTAATTACAAAGCGAGTAAGAACATCATTAGCAATAACAACAACACACAATAGCCTTGAGCAGCAAAAAGTGAGGTAAACTTTATATGAATATCTGTATGTTTGTAAGTAGCTATGTAAATACACATACAGTATGTATATTTATAGGCATTGCAATCACGCACACACGACTGCATAAATGCATATGGTGATTACTAGAGGGATGTCAGTGCCTTCGGTGCAGCAATATGACTCAGGAAAACTGGACGTACTTTTTTTCTACATCATTGCATGCCCGTGCATTCATATACAATACATAACTTTACATAGCTGCATTTAGTGCACATAATATGGACATCTTGCTTCAATGGCGCAGACTTCAGCTCTTTGTAGTTGGGCAATACTCTGGAATCCCTATGACATCATTACAAGGATCAATTTTATTTTCCTTTCGACATTTCCATAACTGAATATCTCTCGGGTGCTGTATATACATACACACATTTAAATGTGTACTAGATGCACAACTCGATATGCATTTGACGTCTTAATTGTGCCATAAACTACACCCAACTATTATTCATTGGATTCGTGAATTTTTGGATAGTTTATTTACACTTGCATTTTTCTTCTTCTCTTCAATTGGGATAAAGTTTTATTAATTTTATTGGTTTTATTAAAGGCATGAAACGTACTGAAATGTTCACAAAGATTTCCTATTTTACCTCAAGCGAAACTTAAAAATCAAAATAAATAATTTTCATTCAGATATTGTCATTTTATTAAACAACTGAGCCAGAAGCAGTCAATAATGAACTGCTACCGCTTGCTTTGATCACAATTTCTATGTACGCTACATGAAGTGCAGGCCTTAAAAAGCGCGAATTCGATCTCGTTCAATGCTTACTCTCCTCCTCTTTTTTGCTCTTCTTTTCTTTCTCTTTCTTGCTTTCTTTTTTGTGACCCTCCTTATGTTTGGCCTTCTTTTCGCCTTTTTTGCCATACTCCTCGTGCTCCTCGTGATGTTCACCATGTTTGTGCTTCTTCTTATACTTCTTCTCATCCTCATCTTTATGTCCCTTTTGATAGTGTTCTTTGTGCTTCTTGTGCTCCTTCTTTTTACCGGCTTCATAGTGTTCACCCTTCTTGTGACCACCCTCCTCCTCTAAATCATGCTTGTGATCCTTACCGTGTTTCTTATGATGTCCCGCTTTATGTTCATCATCGTAGAATTTCTTTTCTTTCTTATACTCGTCTTTATTGAATTTCTTATGGTATTCCAATTCTTTATGACCCTTCTTGTGTTTTTTCTTATGGTGATGCTTACCGCCCTTCTTATGCGCCCCATGTTCCTTCTTTTCGCCATATTCCTCTTCCTCATCATAGTATTTCTTCTTTTTCCCTCCCTTATTCCCATACTCGTGCTCATGGTCCTCTTCCTCGTGGTGTTTCTTCTCATCCTCTTCCCATTCCTTATGTTCCTTATGACCCTTGTCTCCTTTATGCTTCTTCTCCTTGTGTTCCTCCTTATGATACTTTTCGCCCTCTTCTTCTTCCTCTTCGGAAGACTCCTCCTTCTCCTCCTTCTTCTTCGCTGTCACATAAGTGACCAAGAGTGCGAGCAGCAGAAACACTTTCAGGTGACGACGCATTCTCAGCTGCGTACGAATTGCCAATCTGACAATATTTTACAGCAGTTTTATAGGAAAATCCACCATCCAACAAAGAAATGAAACAAGTTAGATAATAGGTGAATGGATTGCGTTTAATACACTTTGAGAAATTTGGTTATTTCAAGAGATTTATCACAAACAAACATATAACCGTTATTCTCTCGGCTTGCATTGAAATTTTTCCGGTGTTTTGTCACTGCGGTTTTGCTTTTCGATCGAATGACGCAAATGTTATGCTTCGGTGCTCCAGTGTGGTTTATATCAACGTAATATCAACTCTTAAGAAGAGCAAGTTTTTGCTGCTTTATCACAAGCATTGCAACTCTATTAATCAGCTTCTTCGATTTCTCCACAGTTTAGGCACTAATTTGTACGAAATTATTATAAAATTTGGATAATGTAATGTATGTACATATATTTCCTATTCGCAAAGAATCTTCAACGACTAAGAGGGACATTTTTGGTGTACCTACTTAGTTAGCATACATTATGTGGTTTTATGGTCTACTTATGCGAGAATATGAAGCATGCGCTGCGTTAAGAACCCATTTCAAAGGGTCGCATACAATATATTGACGACATGTAGCTTTGCCACTATCTCATTACGAGCAAACAGGATTTCAATTAACCCACAAATTGATACTCAAACAATTGTCGCTTGCTGTGCGTCTTTTCGCAGTATCTCATTCACGGCTACACCCCCATCTCAAGAATACCTATAAGAACAACTCAAAGATGATCCTTTACTGCCAGCGGTCGTTCCTTAAGACCAGACTTATTTGGCTTAAGCCCACGCGCTGGCTTCTACATGTCACAAAGTGCAAATATAAGCCAGACAAAACAACCGAAAAGCGGTGTCGGCGCAAGTCGACCGGCAGCAGCGACAGGAGAAAGGCTGCGGGGAAGGAGTGAAATAATGAGCAGCAAATACTGAATAGTATGAATAGTATGAGCTGTGTGCTGGATTCGCACTAGTGCACCAGTTAAACAGTCAATCCCATTGTTTTTGGCATCTGCCATTGTTAACGGCATCGAATGTCGTTCAGTTGTGTGTCGCTTGGCGGTTTGTGTTCAGCTGCTCCGGTAGCTGCCGCAATCGAGCCGAGAGTCGTGGCGTTGCACTTTGTCTGAGGTGAGAATACAAATTGGCCTTTGATGGGATTTATGTTGTGTTGACTGCAAACCACACGTACAGTGTATGCATATACTATGTGCACACATACATACATACATACATACATATTTCAAAGTGAATGCTATTGTATACACAGACGCAAATCCACATCACACACATACTAACGCTAACACGTGTGTGTGTGTATGTATATACTTGCATATGTAAAAGGGTAATAATCCCCATTTGCTGATTGTTCCATTGCTGTCACAGTCGACAATTCCACCGAACAGTGGCTGTCATCCGGCTGTCGGCTAGGTAGTTGGATAAAGAGGCAGTCAGTGTTATCAAATTGGTGTCGCGCTCATACATATTGACACATATGGGATGCTATTCGGCCATTTTGTTGATTATCAGTTTTTCGTATAAATTCGCTCATATTCATACATACCTACATATATGTGTATATATATGACAAATACCTACATGCACGGATTAATGCCTCTCGCTGGCTTATGCATAATATGTATGTGTGTGTACGAAAGCTTCAATATTATTTGAAATACCAACGTAATAATAAATGATTCGCCAATACATATGTATGTATATATATAATCATGTATATATGTCCGTAGAGCTTGTGCGTGTTAAATATAAGGATTTTCTGCTCACATGGCTTCCTTACAAGCATTAATCATATCCCGGCAACGGAGCTGTTCGTATTAGTTGTCTAAAATCTTTGCTTAGTTTCCCCACCCAACGCGATCGGAAATCGAACAGTCGGTGCATATGAAATCAAATTAATTTTTTAATCTCTCCCCTGAGGGTGTTTGAAGATTAAAACCATAATAAACGCATGCATACATGTACTGGAGATATTTTATGTACATATATATAATATATACATATGTACCGATATGTGTTGCATAGACTCTTTGCGTCAGCGGTATCCTGCATGCTTTAATCGATTGTAAAATACAAAATTTATCAGAGCCAATAAGGAAAACGAATTGACGTGCATATGTAAATGAACGAACGACTACAAGTGCACATACCAATTTACTTATGCAAATAAAAATTATATACTGAATTTTATATGATCAAATATTAACCCAGCCATTTTGCCAGTGCATACCAGTTATGTCCGAGCATGTACATGCATGTATGTACATACATAGGTGTACAAATAGAAAATGTTCAGTCTCAAGAGAAAATATATCCGTACAATAGTCTTGTAAAATACAATAGTATAGCAGAAAGAGAGTAACGTTCTTACAATTATTTTCTATGGAATTTAGTTTGATTCAAAAATGGATAAATCAAAGAAAGGATAACTCCTAATTGGCAAGAATTGAATGTGATATGACACTAAAGACATTATTGTTCGTGTTGAGATACATATTATACCATATTTCTAAATCTGTTAAAATGCCGACAATTAATTTCTGCTGAAGGAACCTCCTTTTTGCATAACATGCTAAACACGACTTATAAGCCTTTCTCATTTAAGCGTTACTAGAAGACTGTGGCTAAGTTATAATGAAATTATGCTTGAATATACTTCCATATGTTTAATTGAATGACATAAATATACACGACCCACGTGTCAAGAAAATTTAGTAATAAAAACAATCAAAGGAAAAAAATGTCATAAAAATTAAAAAAAAATTTAATTTTACGATCGCCACCAAAATTTACGCTCGCTGAGCCATTCTGAAGATCGTTCGAAAATTTCATTGAAATCGGTCCAGCCATTTCGGAGTTTATAAGGAACATATGTACATACACACTTTCTCTTTTATATATATAGAAGAAGATAGATAGATAGGTTCAGCTCTTTTGTATCGAGTAAGTTATTTTAGCCAATTTCGAAACACAAAATTAAAACGAATCTAGTATTTCGCCATATGCAAAGCTAAAGTGCCTACTCTACATCCTTTATTCAAGAAATTTCAAATGTGTTGTAATATCCCTGCCTATTATTAAATATTTTAATATATCATCATTACTGTACTTAGGAAGCGTTTCTCTTATCTTCATAAAACTAACTAAGACCTCATAAGTCAAAATCAAGTTGCATGATTATAGGAGTCTCCACATAGAAATACATATGTACAAGAGCGGTTGGTACATACAAGTGCTTGAATAGTAGGATTTGTGTATTTTTAATGTAAAACTGCCAACGGCGACATTTACTTGTTTTAACAACGTTAAAGGTAATCAAATATTTTATAGATTCCAATTATTGCGGCCTAATCTCTTAAATAAAATATATATATTTTGTTAGGCAGAATGTCAAAATACCTTTAACATCTTCAACTATTAATTTTGCGAGTTTTACAGAAACGATATACTTCTCTATAGTCGTGCCAGCATCATTATATGTGCGTGTATGCTATTTTAATATGATTTTATGGCTTTCGCAGTAAAGCGCTGATGTTAATATGCTTTTATTAATAAAATGATATGGTAATAACGAAAAAGAGCGAAAGAAAGGAAGAAGCAATCATTCAACTAATACCTAGAGCTTATTTTATGTAATTAGTAAGAATAGTGCTGGAAGAAGCATTACCTTCAGATAGACACCTCCACCATTTATGAATTCTGCAATACTACTGGAAACCCTGATATAGAAGTAATGAAAGTTTAAAAAAAATAAAAAATTCATCGTCCACTTATTTTAATTTTGTATGCATTGATTCATCTACTAATGGACAAAATTATGCAAAAGCCACGCCCATTTCATTATTCTATATATCAGAGTCTTCAAAAGTACAAAATGTTCGGTTAAGCATAGGCTTAACGTTTCCTTACATACACTTTGCGTGTAAGTATATTTAGAGTATATGTGGATTTCAACGAAACAGAATGGTCGTCCATTTTTCTCCGATTGGGTTATTTGCATTTTTCGCGCAATAAATAAAGCCATCAAAGGCGAAAAATGAATTGCAAATATTAAATACACCATATGAAATGAAAAAGTATGCACTCACCGACATGTGCGTGCAGCAGTTCCAAATGCATTCAAACCCGTCGAGAAAAACAGTTATTTCAGTACATGTAATGCTTCGTATGAACATATCTATTAGAGCTCATGGTATTCGACTAATCGACTAACCGGATAGGGCATTATTCGAGTAATAATATTCGGTTAGCACTATCCGGATAGTCGTAAGTCGTCTACTATTCGATTGGCTGCTCATTTTCGACTATTCGGTTAACCGTTCGTTGTCGACTATTCAAATAGTAACCGTTCTTTCAAAAAAAAATGGCAAAAATCAAAACCTGCTTGGATTGCAAACAATTTTCATTTATTCAAACACCAGGCAGAGCAACTATTCAAATACTCGCAGTTGAACGGCTATTCGAATAGTACTATTCAGTTAATATTCGTCCTGTAACCGGATATTCGAGTAAACGGTTTTCGGTTTATTCGAATAATTTTAAGAGCACTAATATGTATATATGTACGTAGCGTATATATGTTAACACATACATTCGGACCGGCATAGCTATATATGAATATATATGATTTTAAGTGACTTTTGTGAAAACAATCCATATTCGCACATATGTATGCACGTCATGGCCCAGCAGAGTAGTTGACTCCACATTCGTCAGCGCGGACACTCGCGGATCCTTTGGCTCAACCAAAAGGTGTTCAAGCGAAAGATGCAATTAACGAAATATTCATATTTGTGTTTGTTCAATAATTTTTTGCTACATTTAAGCGCGCTAATTAAAAAATATAAATGCATGATGTCGCTGAAAGCATTCACATAGACACACATATACGCGTGTGTATGTATGTACTGCTGCCGATCATGTGAAAAAGGGTTTAATTAAAAATACATAAAAATCGCTT